TTACGGCCACACCACGCTGGAACACCAGTTCTCGTCCAATCACCGAAGTTAAGCAACGTCTAGCCTGGTCAGTATCTAGATGGGTGACCGCTTGGGAATACCAGGTGCTGTAAGCTTAAATGTGCCATTGGTATGGCCAAATTACGTTGAAAGACTAGTTCTCGTCCAATCACCGAAGTTAAGCAACATTGAGCCAGGTCACTTCCTAGAGAGGTTACCGTTTGGGAATACTAGGTGCTGTAAGCTTGAATGTACCGTTCGTATTGATTACGGATATATTAAGTTGAAATACCGGTTCTCGTCCAATCACCGAAGTTAAGCAACGTCTAGCCTGGTCAGTATCTAGATGGGTGACCGCTTGGGAATACCAGGTGCTGTAAGCTTAGATGTGCCGTTGGTATGGCCAAATTACGTTGAAAGACTAGAGTGCTGTAAGCTTGGATGTACCGTTCGTATTGATTACGGATATATTAAGTTGAAAGACCGGTTCTCGTCCGATCAACGAAGTTAAGTAACGTGTAGCCTGGTCAGTATCTAGATGGGTGACCGCTTGGGAATACCAGGTGCTGTAAGCTTGGATGTGCAGGTGGTGTAATGGATAATAGGTTGCAATTGTTAATCGAAGAGCCGAGTTCCAATTCCAGTTGGGTTTGTTATATTCACTTAGGCACAAATAGCCTTGGGAACGGTATGAATCCACCTCTTCTTTCCCCATCTATGGGTTAATTAGTAGAACTTGTGTAACTAAACTATAATTATTTCCAAAAATAATATAAAAATTGGATTTCGGCATTAAGTAACGTACAGATGTTGATATGCCGCCAAGCAAAAACAACAACAAACTATGGTTTCCTTCCACCACAACTACATAAGATTTTAGAAACATTTAGTGGAGATATGTATTTATTTCTAAAAATTCAAATTAAGACCCTCCGACTTCATTGCATTTGTTGAAGAGCACCTTCTTGGCAGCCCTTGTCTCAATTGAAGATGTTTCCGTCACAGCCTCTTTCATCTTCTCCACGTCCTCAAAACATTAATCCATAAGTAGTGTTGGTCATTTGAAAAATTTCTGATGTATTTTTGCCGAGATTTCTTTTAATCAATTTAATCCAGGCAAGGGGATAATGCCACTAAGACGCAAACGGTTACCGTGAGTGAAACAGAATGAGAAAACTTTAGCGAGGAAAATATGATGTGATGTGGCAATATGATTTGTAAATATCTCTGAGAAGTCGTCCGTAAACCTCCCTGTCTTGTGCTAACTCACGAGAGTGTTGCAGGTCTTCCTAGTTCTTCAAAGTTTTACGGGCAATAGCAGAATTTTATTGATAGTTCCTTTAATGTCCTTGTTGATTGTGTCTACTATGGTTGTTCGTCCAGTATCAATAGATGCTATATTCTTCCATTTATCATTGATAACAAAACCATTTCCAAAACGTTTATAGCTTGTTTCCAAAGCGATTAACATGTGCAGTCTAAGTCAGGTATTAATATCAAATCCTTCTTTGATGTTGGTTTCTTGGAGACAACATACCTGAATGTTATAACTTTCAACGTCCCGAGCCAATAATTCATCTAGAATTATTTTCCATTATCCCAAGTTTCATATTCCATAACAGTCCTTTATCAAAATTTAGCTCTTGAAGTCAGATGTTTATATAAAGTCCTTGTTCGATTTTGGTTTCTTGGAGACAACATACATCAATGTTTTTTTTTCTCTTCTTTTTACAAGTCTTCTAGCATTAAATGTACCGATGATAGAATCTGTATAGGTATTTGGTGGTTTCTACTAAGTTGTAAATACCCTATATGCTGGCCTGCAAGGCGACTGGGCGTATAAGACGACCTTCAAATTTTAAAGTTAAAATATAAGTTTCGGGCTATATTCACCATACTATACGACCCTGTCAAATCGTATTTTAAAAATATATTGTATTGAATTTATTAAATTAATTCATTAAGTATATACTTTCTTAAATTCTTATGAAAAAAAAACTGTAAGGAGATGTTGTCATGTTATCTACCACAATCTACAATACCTTATGAATTAGTTGCTGCGTTTTCGGTAGGCTATTACAGTAACCTGAATTACTTTTCCCGCTAACCATCCACTCGTTCCGCTGTTCTCGAAGGTGATCTTTAAATGGCTTGTTGAGACACATCCAGTCGTATTTTTGTTAACGTCATCGAAAAAAAAAAGGGTGCGAGATGTTGTCAATTAACTACCACAATCCACACTCACCGTTACTCCTACCATAGTCCACCAAATACATTCACCGTTACCCGGTAATCATAACACGATCTCCTATGCTAACAATTTACCATAAACCGCAGGATTTAACGTTCACATTTTATACCTGGACTGCCGCCTATTTTTGCGGGTCATTATTTAAAATTCAAAGATCGCCTTGTACGCCGACATTTACGGTATGTAGTTGTCAACTTTTAATGCCTGACCACCGGAGAAGTCATTACCTTCTCATCCCAAATAAATCACGTAAATCTTTTTTTCACTGAATATTTACATGCAACCGTCAGAGAACGATTTCCGAAACGTTTCGCCGGGATTAATGTCGTCGCTTCTCTAAATATTTTCAGATTGAAAATCTTTTTTTTTTTTTTTTTTTTTTGTGAGGGAATTGTACTTAAAATATGTTCAGGTTACACAGTGTATCTGGTCTTTTATTCGGAAAAATTGGACGAGATTCTGAAAACTTTCAAACTTTCACTCAACAGACCGAAAATAGAAAGGATGCAGCAAAGGTCCAAAGATGAAAGGACAAATATATATATATATATATCAAGATAAAGTGTAAATGCAATTCGTTTACTTTTAGTTCGGAAGCGTCGATTGTTTTATAAACCAAAGAAAATGAAGTGCAAACCTGAATGTCTTTTGTTCGCTAAATATGAACTCAGAAATATCTTAGACAATAAACTTAGACCTTCGCATTCGCAAAAAAAGACGGAGTATCAAAAGGACGGGTTTTTCCATTGACACCGCTATTATTTTAACTCCCTTCACTCCTCAGCAATGTTTTCAGTGACACCGCTATTATTTTAACTCCCTTCACTCCCCAGCAATGTTTTCAGTGACACCGCTATTATTTTAACTCCCTTCACTCCCCAGCAATGTTTTCAGTGACACAGCTATTATTTTAACTACCTTCACTCCCCAGCAATGTTTTCAGTGACACAGCTATTATTTTAACTACCTTCACTCCCCAGCAATGTTTTCAGTGACACAGCTATTATTTTAACTACCTTCACTCCCCAGCAATGTTTTCAGTGACACAGCTATTATTTTAACTACCTTCACTCCCCAGCAATGTTTATTTCTTTAAAAAGCGATGATTAGAATTGTAATAAAACCTAAATATATGAAAACCAATTTGCACATTTTTCTTTGTTCTTGAAAATTTAGAACAAATTATTAGATTGTTTGCCGATGTTTTGCAAATCATTTTAATAATAAATAAATAGTGAAAATAAACAATCAGTTCTTTCATCCGATCATTATTGTTATTATTGTTATTATTATTATTATTGTTGTTGTTGTTGTTGTTGTTGATATTGTCGATCAAAATGATTGACGTAAACCTTCTAATATTAAAACAGCGTTTAACAATATCTAATAATATTTCGACAGTACATCCGCCATCTTCAAGTTATATATAATACATTGTCATCATCATTATCATTGAAAGTGCATTGCAAATTAATGTAATTTCTCAGTAACTTTGTAGTTATTCTAATCAGCCCTTTCCAAAGCTTCATGTCGTCTGCTAACTCACGAGTGTTGCAGGTCTTCCAAGCTCTTTAAAGCTTTTATGGAGAATGATAGAATTTCATTGATAGTTCGTTAAATGTCATTGTTCAATGGGCATAACTTGGTTGTTCGTCCATTCTCTGTAGATGTTCTTTTCATTTTGGAATTAATGAAAAAAAAAAAAAAAAGAAAAAAAAAACATTTCCATCATATTAACTGTTTCTAAATCTCGATTTACTTGGGAAAAAATCGCGTGTCTTAAAAAAAACAAAAAACAAAATTGTTTACACTGCTAGTCGTCGACCCCGACTCCCTTCCGGGCATACTGATTATCCCCCCCCCCTTGGGGTCTGTGGCGGAGATGGCTGTGAAGGCCTAGCCTAATCCTGAAGCGTCGTCAAAGAGAGTTTGACGAGGCCATTCACGTGTATTTGATTTGGGGCGGACAACACTGGTAATCAACGCAACAAGGAAAATGAAACGCGTCCAGCGAGAATGGAATTCGATCAGATTTACACTAAGCAGTTTAATTAATCGCTGTTATTAACTAATCAACTCTCGGAAAATTTCAACATGAGCACGTTTCCAATTATGTTATTCGTGTTTCACTTGCATTCCAGTCACTTGCGTTGTCGCGTTAATCACCAGCGTAACCGCTTTTGTTTCGTCAAGACAAGCGACGTTTGTATATAGACTTGTTTTCATATTTGTATGTACTCTTGTTCCATGTATAATATGAAGAAGTTAGACATACTGTTGAAATATTAAAACACTGTCTTTTCCTTTCTTTTCTGGAAATCGCGCTCTTCTGGAATTATTATTATTATTATTTATTATTATTATTAGAAAAGGAAAAGAAAAGAAAAACAGTGTTAAAAAATATTTCAACAGAAAGTCTTCTACAAGTTATATTTAAAATAAATTTTCAAGTATAAAATTTTTTTCAAGTATAAAATTGTTTTCAAGTATAACAATTAGAAGTCTGCACAAATGGTTTTTCATTACAAGACAAGCAACATTTATACAAAGACTTATAATATTTGTAGATTTGCATATTTTTATACTTGAAAAAATTGTTTAAATATAACTTGTTGAAGAAAGCCATTCTCTCGAAATATTGTTTAACATTGTCAAACATCTTGTTTTTTCTTTTCTTTATCTTTTCTTAAATCACGCTCTTCTCTTAACTGTTGAAAATTATTGGAAGAGTTACGTCATTCATTTTGTTTACTATTATTATTATTATTATTATTATTATTATTATTATTATTATCTTCTCTTCTGCCACGTTTTTCTTTTTTAAACCGGAGATCTTGAGGTCGAAGCGGCTCCAATAAGTCCT